AAGCATGGCTGGCTGGGGAATTCTGGGAGTTGAAGTCCGCACAGCTTAAAGCTGCCAAGGTTGAGAAACACTGCTTTACAGTGTTAAAAACTGCAGGGGGCATGGAGGGAAGAGGTCAGCAAAGCCCTCGAGGTATCAACAGAATTGGGGCTGCTCGGTTTGCCAGCTGTGTTAAGCAAAGGTTCTGCAGACTCTTAATATCTGCTCTGCAAGGCTGGTGTGGACATGGTCAGCTTGTAGGACACCATGTCCTGGATTTTGTGAGTTGGGATTTTCAGGGGGCAGGTTTAGCCCCCTGAGTATTCCCACACCATTGTTTTTATTATTGTTAGCTGCCCAGAGTCACTAGTCTGAGATGGGTTGCTATATAAATTTGAATGAATGAATGAATGAATGAATGAATGAATGAATGAATGAATGAATGAATGAATGAATAAAATGGGGCTTTTTTAGGTGGGGAGCAAAGGGAGGAACTGATTGTGCCTTAAAGTACAAAGATTAGACTCGAAAAGTTTTCCATTCAAAAATTTATTTACATTCCAAGACCAAACACAGTTTTCCAGTTCTCATTTTCTGCAGTTTTCCATTTCCATGTTTTCCCCCCAACAACAACACTTTGTAAAGATTTGCTCTCAGAGAGGTAACCCTTTTAATCCCTTGCATTAAAACCAGGGTATCAAAACCAGGTAGAATCTTGTACAGTCTTAGTTTCACACATGTCTTATTCCACGTAGACTGTGATCCATGAAATCTTGCACAGTAATACATTTATCCATCTTTAAAGTATCCCAAGGTTCTTCATTACTGTAGCAATGGTTACCTTTGTGGTCCCCCATTATACCCATTCCTTACCCCTTTAGCAGAATTACTAAAATCACCTCAAAACACTCAATGAGTTCGATGAGTTTGCAGAGTTTGCAGAGTTATAGTCAAAAAAACACCCTGGTTTGATCCAATGGCTATAATCACAGTTTAGCATGAAGGAAGGAATCTGCAGGTGAAGTTTTTACACCACCATGATAAATAAACCTGTGCCATGGTACACTCCTCCCCCAAGTTCCTACATTAATACTGAAGATAATACATTTTAAAACAATGTAGAGAAAGTAAGTTATTAACAAAAGATGAAGCTTGCAATTTTCATATATAAACTTCCAAGGCTGTCCACAGATGAGCCCTAATCTCCATTTGGAGTTGATGACTTTTAGAATAGCAAAATAGGAATTTCCAGATGGGCTGATTGCAAATCTGTAGCCATTGGGACAGTCCATGTCAGGCAAGAAATGGTTAAGTCAAAAACCAAAGTCCTGTTCTATTTCTGGAAGGAAAACTTCCCAAACTGGGCAGAAGATCTCAGACTGACACTGATTCTCTGGAGAGTAGGAGCCAAGCTTGTTCTTTGCAGCCCTGGTGCCAATATCTAGCTAAAAATAGAAACTGCAGCTGATAAGGTGACAAGAGCAGATATGCTGAGGCACCCCAAGAAGATCTTGGAAAACTAGTTCCATATGTAAGCTAGAGGACCTTCGTGTTATGTACTGCAATCCTTCCTTTTCTACAAATGGCCCAGGAAGAAATGTAATTTGCACATCAAGATTTATTGAGAAGAAAGAGATAGTTTCCATAAATCGGGCAACTAAACTGTTTCTCATTTAGAACCCATCTATCACCCTTAGTTTTGTTTCTAAGAGGCTTCCTGGGATCTGCCAAGGAGGAGGATCTTTTCACTCATAATGGAAACTCTTGCAGCTGGCTATTTACATCAACATTTCAGGAATGGTTATCCCTCTGGGAACAAACTTGCACACCGCCTCTCTCCCTCTTCCATCTCAAAGCCTGGAGAATCCCTTCCCCACTCCTCCCTCTAGGGAGAAATCACCAGTTGAAGAACAGCAGTAAGAGAGGTCACTCAACTGGATCTCCTCCTGTTCTTCTTTTTACTTTAAAGCAGCCATCTTAGGAGGAAAGCTTCAAATGTTATAACCCAACCCTTTGTCTACATTTACAGATACCCAACCTTGGTCTCTACAGCATGGGGAATATTAGTGATTTAAGGCAGCTTATGCTTTAAATCAGCTTTCCCCACTGCAGTGCCTCCAGATGTCCTGAGCTATAAAAACTTTACTTTCCAGTTGAGCGGGGCTGGGAATGATGGGGATTGTGGTCAAACATATCTGGAGGATGTCATATTGGGGAAGACTGGTCTAAACGCATACTGTGGTACATTTTGAGGTTGTATCACTCTTGCATATTAAACAGCATATTAAAAAGCAGAGACGTCACCTTGCCGACAAAGATCCGCATAGTCAAAGCTATGGTTTTTCCAGTAGT